TGAGGGCATCGAGGGAGGAGCCCGCTATTATTGTTTTGCTAAATGACCATGTTGCCAAACTGCCTTTTAAATATTTATGTGTGTGCCCGTATATCTGTGCTGCTCTGTCCTCTGTCAGTGAAGCCTCTTCTTATAAGGGGATTCAGAAGCAGTCCAAGTCCTGAGTGTAAGTGAGTCTGATCAGCCCTAAATGGGACATGGGTACCAACAGCTCCCTCCTCCATCTGCACCACTAAGGCTCAGGGAGCATCTTGGGGGTAGGGGTGGGGGATGTAAAAGCAGGAAGGTGGAGAGCAGAGCTATGAGATGCTATCTTTTGGACACGACATAGTCACTACACTCAAGAACTAATAGCTGCTGTGGTCCCTGCACAAGATCAAGCCAGGGAAATTTTTGGAATGGATGGGGGAGAGGCTCATGAGACGCCCCCTCCCCCCCACGTCCAGCTGAGAAACCATTGGTTGATAACTGGTGGGGAAAAGCGGGTAATTTCTCTTTGCCAGTGCAGCCACTGGCAGGTTGCCCATGTTCCAGGCTATAGTCCCCCACCCAAGCACATATAGGTAGCACTAATCTGATCCGGCGGGTTATTAAAAAGGGGGTGGGAATGAGGTTGCAGGGAGACATATTGTGAGTTGGATGTCCAGGTGGAGTTGAAAAGGGGACTAGATATGATCAGAGTATATTGACTATATGCATAACATTCCTAAATAATAAATGCAATTTCTTTTTCAATGCAAGGGGCATTGAATCTAAAATTCCTGGTGACATCCTTTGTATCATGACTGTGGTCACTAAGCACAGCTATTGAATTCTTGACATACATTCTGTGAAGACCTTACTCAGCACAGCACTCAAGAATGTTCCAGAACCCCAGGACTCATGGACAGTCAGCAGCTGAACCAGCCTCCAGAACTCTGACCCCCAACACTGGGGCATCCAGCCGCCTGTGGTCCTGCCTCCGAGGAGAATACCATGCCAGGTGCCCAAGGGATCTCGGAAACCTACTCACCCAATCAGTACCAACTGTCTCCCTGCTTTGTGCTTGGCAATGCTGCCTGGGGTACATCTGTCTAACCTGACGTTTTCACTTTATTCTCTGACTCAGTGAAGTCAAAAATCACGACACTCTCTATACCCAGGTCCCCACGCCCTCACTTGCTGAGATGATTTGAGTTGGGATTTCAGCTCCTTTTGTCCCCATATCCAGGGAGAAAGGTCCCTTCCCTCCTGCGACAGTACAGTGGTTTGGACATGTCCTACAAATAACAAATATGTAGGCTTAGGTGAGGACTAAGGCTGCCATACGTACAGATGACTCGCACCATCCTGATAAACATTGTCCCCAAACAGGCTTTCCACACCAGGCTCCATGACATACCCCAGCCGACTGCCAGGGTGGGTTCAGGGCAGGATGTAGACGCTGGGCATCATTAGCAGAAAGGTAGCTTTTTCTGCCCTCAGTTCCTTCCTGGGTACCTAGACGGCGAGGAGACTAAGAATACAGCTTGGTAAGGTTAGGTCCTGGTTTGCCACTTCAGAGTCCTTCATGGTTCAAACCCCAGCACCGGTGTGACACCAGGCACAAAAACAGGAGCGACACCCCTGAAGGCAGCCTCAGTGCCTAGGACTAAGAAGAAGCAGTTGCAGGTACGGGAGAGACAGGCATAGTGTCATAGGGTCTTCACTGGGAAAGGACCATTCAGGTCCAAGGAGCTCACGAATGGAGGGCTTTGCAATGCTCAGATGAGTAAGGACTTGTCCCCCTGAGGTGGAGAGACAGGTGTCTTTCTCTGTCCCCAAAGAGAGAGTTTCTCCATGCTCACTCACAGCCGTCCAGGTTTCCCAATGCTGTACGCTGTAGATTCTTTTCTATATTACTCTTTGAGAAAATATGGCAGATGCCCTACCTAGAGGTGCAAGCTGACAGCCACAACCACCAACCCACACAAGTCTGACTTCCTCTGACACCTCTTATTATTACCAATTCTTTATTTAACCCCCCCCCTCTCTCTGTGTGTACATGGAGTTGAGGGGTCAATGTCAGGCCTGTTCTTCTACTATACTCCACCTTATTTTTTTTTGAGACAGGGTCTCTCACTTACTTTGGAACTCACTGCATTTTGGCCAGACTGGCTGGCACCGAGCCTCCAGTCCTTGCATCCCAGGGCTGGGATTACAGACGTGTGCTATTGCACACAGCTTTTTTACATGAGTACTGAAGATCAAACTCAGGTCCTCATGGCAAGCAATTTTAATAACTGAGCCGCCTCCCCAGGTCCCATCGAGCGTTCATTTCTTATAGAGCAAGTCCCCTTTGCTCTGCCAGATCAGAGAGGAATTTCATTTCTTTTTAGATTTGTGTATGACCTTTAATGCCAACACTTGGGAGGCTTGGATATATTATTATTATTATTATTATTATTATTATTATTATTATTGGTGTTTTGACACAAGTTTTCTTTGTTTAGCCCTGGATGTCCTGGAACTCACACTGTAGACCAGGCTGGCCTCGAACTCACAAGAGATCTGCCTGCCTCTGCCTCCCGAGTGCTGGGACTAAAGGTGAGCGCCACCACCACCCAGCTCCAAATTTCATATCTTTACTTAATGGATTCTACTCTTATTCCCCTAATCACTATGGAAATCCAATTGTGAATTAACCTGACTTTAACAGACTTTGTGTTTCTTAGTAGACCCTCACCATTGTCTCTATTTTGCTTTTCTTTTCCTGCTTCTTTACATCTACTTTTAACCCAAGTAGCTCAAATGCTTATTTTGCCTTCCCTTTATTGGCTTCTGTTTCTCACACTGAGTGCCTACCTACGGCGCTACAGTGCACAGCCCCAAAGGGCAAAATAAAAATAGTCAATTGGTCGATAATAGACTGGGAAAGTTTGTAAGGACAGAAAGAGCAGGCAGGGGACCCAGGGACAACTGGGCTGATGAGGAAGCCTGGAAGAAGATTTTCAGGGACCTGGGGTTGCTTTCAAACAACTCAGGTGGCTCAGCCAGGTTGGAGGAGACAGGGAGGGGACAGGAAGTCTTGGCCAGTACCCAACTTCAGGCTACTGTTCAGTAAAGTCCTAGTCTTCTGGACACACTGTATGTGTGAGACCAGACTGACAAGGAACTTCCTCCAGCAGGCTGTTTATAGAACCATGGCCCTGAAGCCAGAGCATGAAGCCCCGCTTCTGCTACCAGGCCTCGCCCACAACACTGCACGAGTGTTCCTTTCTGTTCAGGCTTTTTGCTGCTGGTATTGATTGTTGCTTTTATTGGCAGACTGTGTCGCAAAGTAAAAATAAACCCGGGAGTTTGTACAGGGAGACAGCGAAGGGCTTTTTCTGTGTCTCCAGGTCCTGGGGAAGCCTTGCTGGGGGGTTCAGGGGTCAACCCAGTCCCTGCTGTTTTAGCGTAGCTCTGCAACTAAGATAAGGGTGTTTGTGATCTGTGTCCTGCACTTTACAGGGCGGACAGCTGTGGGTGGATAGCTGTGGTCACCCTCACACCCTCAATTCATAGCTGCTGAATGACATCCAAGTAGGGCTGTCCGGGAAGCAGTGATCTCAAGGCTGGGACAACAACCACGCCTCTCAGTTCGTTTCCACATGCAGCTGCCTCAGCTAGCCAGTCACCACAATTTGGGGTTAAGGGTACGGTTCCGAAAGAGCAGGCAGCAACAACTATGACTGCATAGGCAAAGCCTATTCACAGAGAGCTGTCCTGTCATGTTCAATGTGTGAGCCAATTGTTCCCACATACTGAGCCAGGTGGTGCTGTCTTATCATTATTTCTGCTATCAAAACTAAAAGACAATCAACCCAGGCATCGTGGTGCATGCCTGTACACCTGTACTTGGGAGGTAAAGGAAGTCGGATCAGGAGTTCAAGGTCAGCCTCAGATTTTGAGAGTTCAAAATTATGTATATTGGGTTACATAAGACCTTGTTAAAAAAAAACAATCCTTCTTACTGTCATTTATAGACAAGAACTAGGATTAACGGTGAGGTCTAGGATTTGTGCCTAGGTTCTTGCAGAGGAAAAATACTTTGTGTTGACAGAAAGATTAAAAACTGTTCTGTATGTGTTTAATTGCTTTCTGCCATTTTTCCCCGTTTTAGGCTGTAAACTAAGGTGGGCAGTTCCTTGCTGTATCATCGCAGCCTGAAACGAGTGTCTGGCACATATTGGGTATTGAATGAAAACCCATCCCTAAGCCGGATATTTGGTGGCGCACAGGAGGCAGAGGCAGGCAGATCTCCTTGAGTTTGAGACCAGCTTAGTTCCAGGACAGCTTCCAAAGTCACAGAGAAACCTTGTCTCGAAACAAACAAACAAACAAACAAACAAACAAACAAAAAAACCATCTCTAAATAGAAACGACAGGCGGTAACCCTAAGTTAGAGCCTGGCCCCTCCCTCTACCATTCGAGGTCGGGTAGCTCCCCTAGGCAGAGCGAGCGGCGGGCTGTGGCGGGTAGGGAGCTGGGGGCAGTGACAACCTAATTCTGGTCTCTGATCAGCAAAAATGCCAGAAGCGAGGAGGTTGCAATGCCAGCCCGAGTTCTCAGGTTCCCCTTTCTTTTTCTAAATCAGGAAATACATTTTTCTCCCTGTGCTCGCAAAGAAGCGCCACACGCCCCAGAGCCGAGCTGCAGGGTGCAGAGGGCCCGCAGGGAGCCGGGCGTTCGGGGCCTGGGAGCCGGGTTCCCTAAGGAAGGAGCGCGGGAGAAGCCGGGCGCCGCGCGGGGCTGGGCGCACCCCTGGCCCTGGCCGCAGGCTCCCGCGTTCTCCCAGCGCCGTTCCACCTTAAGCGCGCAGACCTCCTTAAGCCCGGCGCGCGAGCGCGGGTGGGGGGCGGGACCTGGCATGCAAATGAGGGGCGTGGGGCGGCGGGGCGGGGCGGGGCGGGCGGGGCGCGGCCTGACGTCAGGCCCGCGGCTGGGGCAGTTGGCGCGGCGGCGGCGGAGCGGCAGGAGGGCAGGAGCGGCGGCGCCGAGTGAGGCGCGCGGCGGGGCGCGGGCAGCGGCGGGGCCGGAGCAACATGGCGCCGGGGGGCGGGGGCGGGCGGCGGGGCGGCTGGCCGGCCCGAGGGCGCCTCCTCCTGGCCGCGCTGCTGCTGCCGCTATGGATGCGGGCGGCCAGCGGCCAGAGCAGCCCCCCGCAGAGCGTGATCCTGGGCATGAGGCTGGCGAGCTGCAACAAGTCGTGCGGGATGAACTCGGACGGCATCATCTTCGTGTCCGAGGGCAGCACGGTGAACCTGAGGCTCTACGGCCACAGCCTGGGCGAGATCTCCAGCAACCTCATCTCCTTCACCGAGGTGGACGACGCCGAGACGGTCCACAACTCCACCAACTGCCTGGAGCTCACCAAGGACTTAGTGGTCCAGCGGCTGGTCAACGTGAGCCGCGGGAACACGTCGGGGATGCTAGTGGTGCTCACCAAGTTCCTGCGGAGGAGCGAGAACATGAAGCTGTACGCGCTGTGCACCCGGGCCCGGGTGGACGGGCCCTGGCTCAAATGGACGGACAAGGACTCCCTGCTCTTCATGGTGGAGGAGCATGGGAGGTTTCTGCCGCTCTGGCTGCACATCCTTCTCGTTTTGGTGCTCTTAGTGCTGTCGGGCATATTTTCTGGCCTCAACTTGGGGCTTATGGCCCTGGACCCGATGGAGCTGCGCATCGTGCAGAACTGTGGTACTGAAAAGGAGAGAAGGTACGCCCGCAAGATAGAGCCCATCCGGCGCAAGGGCAACTACTTGCTCTGCTCGCTGCTCTTGGGGAATGTGCTAGTCAACACCTCCCTCACCATCCTTCTCGACAACCTCATCGGGTCTGGCATCATGGCCGTGGCCTCCTCCACCATTGGTATCGTCATCTTTGGGGAGATCTTACCTCAAGCCCTGTGCTCCCGACACGGGCTGGCTGTGGGTGCCAACACTATCGTTCTCACCAAAATCTTCATGCTGCTCACCTTTCCTCTGAGTTTCCCCATTAGCAAACTCCTGGACTTCGTCCTGGGACAGGAGATTCGCACTGTTTACAATCGGGAGAAGCTGATGGAGATGCTGAAGGTGACGGAACCCTATAATGACCTAGTGAAGGAGGAATTAAATATGATCCAGGGCGCCCTGGAACTAAGGACCAAAACTGTAGAGGATATCATGACCCAGCTCCACGACTGCTTCATGATCCGCAGCGACGCCATCCTGGACTTCAACACCATGTCGGAGATAATGGAAAGTGGCTATACTCGCATTCCTGTGTTCGAAGACGAGCAATCCAATATCGTAGATATCCTGTATGTCAAAGACTTGGCTTTCGTGGACCCCGATGACTGCACCCCGCTCAAGACTATCACTCGCTTCTACAACCACCCGGTTCATTTTGTTTTCCATGACACCAAGCTGGATGCCATGCTGGAGGAATTCAAGAAGGGTAAGGGGCTGGTGTAATTCCTGGTTAAATTGTCCTTTTGAAGCCTCCCTGAAGCGTCGCCCCCCCATTCCCCCCCCTGCGTGTTTTGTGTCTGCTGATTTTACTCTATTTCTGAGTTTGACCTCTGTGTCCCTCCGTCCGTCCATCACTTCCTTCCTATGCCTCAGAGGTGAATGTTACCAGGTGAGGCAGAAACAGTTCTCAAGCCTTTGCCTTCTGCCTTTGTGTTTAGTTGAATGGAAAAGAGACACACTTGTCTGGAGCTGGGGGAGGGGAACATAGTAAGGCTCATGCCTGTAAAGAGGCAAACACCAGGCCTCCTGGAGATTTAGAGGGTGAGGAGGGGAAGTAAGTCATCAGACAGCTGAGGGTGTCACCGGGGAGGAAACATTCGAGAAGACGCTTAAAAGATGAAGCCGCTTGGAGGCCAAAGGTGTGCTTGTAGCTCAGCAGGTGGTCCTGTCCAGTGGACCTCCTCCTCCTGGCTCTGCTGGTCAGTGACATCCAGTTTGTGCCCAGGTTGGAACTCTGGAAGATTCAGGGGCAGGGCAGGGGAATACCGTCAGTAGCCCTCCATCCCACAGGAGTGTAATTGAGAGGTCTCTCCTTGGCTTCCAGGCACACAGCAATGCCAAATAGCGTGAGACCAGGCTTTGGATACTGTTCCACATTGCCCAGGTGTCAAACATAAATTTGCCACCCCACCCCAGTCTTGAGCTGGCCTTGCACTGCTTGGTGTGTGTGTGTGTGTGTGTGTGTGTGTGTGTTTTCTAAGGGGTGCTTGGCTGGCTCCCAGATAGAGAGTTTACTCCCCTGCCTCAAAGCTCAGGGCACACATCCCTTTCCTTATTCCCAACAAAGACTTCCTCCCTCTTCTGCTCTCCTGAAGCCCTCAAAGAGGCTGTAAACAAGGTGATTATAGAGTAAAACCCTCATGGGCTGAGGGAGGTGAGGCAGAAAGGGCAACTCTTTAGAGAAGAGCCTGGGGTTCATTTTGTAGGGGCTTTTCTTCATAATCTTGGTCCCAACCAGAATCCCGTATGTAGAGCTGTTTCTGGCAAAGGCCCAAGCTAACCTGGGAACCACTTTTGAACCCTAGTTGTGGATAAGCCTGGGGTTATTTCTGATCTGCAAAACAGTCTTGGAATGGGATCAGGAGAAAAGAGATGGTCTTGCCAGACTTGGTTTAAGACCAAAAGGTGTACTTGGGTCCGGGTCCGAGTCAGGGTCAAGGCCAAAGGGGCAGGTTGGTTCTAGACAGATCTCAGCATCAGAGCTAAGAATGTCTTCAGGGTTATAAACCAGGACAGGAGATAGTCTGAGTGGCGTGGAAAGAGATTTGAGGGTGCAGACCCAGGATCCTGTTTTGCCCAGGGTCAGAGTTGGGGCACAGGGGCAGGGGAGTGTGTCTCACCTTGCAGCTAGGAACCTGAACATTTCTTCCTGCCTCTGTGGCCTTTGAGGTGGGTGTTGGTGATGTATGTATACACCCACCAGTACCTCCCCATCAGTTTGGTCAGCTCTGGATGCAACTAGTATGGATTGGCTTAATTTGATGTCCAGCTCCTGCTCAGCCGGGCTGAACTCGGTGCGGTGGGAGCATGCTGGGTCTGGGCAGAGCATCCTTGCCACTCTGTCCTGTGAAGGAGTGAGCTGGAGAAAAAGGCATCTGAGGCCGGAGCTCTTCTGGGCTGAGGCCTCCCCTCCCCCCAGTTTGTTCAGGACTCTTTCTCCTTGACAGAGGCCTATGGCCTGAGTCCAGGCCTTGGAGTGTGGATCCAAAGCAGTTCACAGAGAGGCAGGTCCAGTCCACCCTGTGCATCAGGACACTGGAGATGTCGGTGGGACGAGGTGGCCACCCCTTGTGAGCAGACCCTAGGCCAGCCTTGTGTGGGGCCTTTCTGGGCATAGGAGACCAGTGTTAGTTCATGCATCGCCACAAAGATGTCCTGCCGTGTCCATGCCTCCCACTGTGTGGCTTCTCCTTGGTCCTTCCCGTCTGGTCCCCCGCTAGCTAGTCTGAGGCTGCCCGGGATGTGGCAAGCAAACCTAATGCGCGCTTACAATATAAGAGTTTCCGTCCAAGGATAGGGTCTGGAAGGCTTTTTGTTTTTGTTATTAAGAAGGAACAAGTGGTCAGATCAGCACCACCAGTGTTATGCCAGATGGAGTGACATATTTTAGGGTCTTTGCTGGATCTTTCGCCCCCAAAGTGTGTGAAGGCACTGGATCCCGTTCTGCCTGAAGCCTGGTGCCTAGCTGTACTTTCCTTTCTGTCTGTCTGGGTTTCTGTTTTGAGTCAGGGTCTTGCCTTGCAGCTGAGGTTGGACTTGCCTCCCAAGTGCTGGGATTGTAGGTGCATAGCCTGGACCTGTAATTTTTACTTAACCAGGCTCTTTCATCTCCACTACCCGGCTCTGTAAGTTCGTTGAGCGTGGGACCCACGCTTGCAGTTTTCACCACTGCAGGCCCGGCCAGCAGACAGGGCCTCGGCGGGCGGGCGAGCGTTAGTTAAACAAATGAATGGATGATTGTCTGCCAGGCCTCTCGGGCTTCCCTGTTCTTGAACATACCTCAACACTCCCACTCCAGGGCCTTTGCCCTAGCTGTTCTCCAAGAAAGAGCGGCCCCCTTCACCTGGCTTGTCTCTCCAGCATCGCCTCCGGGAGGCCTTGCTGCTGGCCCCTTTAGGCCTGTAGACCCCACATCTCACCTGGCCTTCCCAGGCCTCTACCCTGTACGGCTTTTCCCTTTCCTCATAGTACGTCTCACTGCCAGCTCTGGCACGTACTGGTTTGCTGTGTTGTTCGTCTCCACCCAGTACAATATGGGATCCAAAGGGCAACCTCTCTGCCCTGATGATTGTACCGATAGCTCTGGAATGGCCCTGGGCACATAGTAAGGCCATAATAAATCATTACCTAGTGAATGAATGAATGACTTGTCAGATTTGGGAGACAATTATTCCTAGTGTAGAGGCTTTAGGATTTTGAATGGAGTGCTGTGGCACCTTCCTCTGCGCCAGGGAAAGCCAGGGGTTCCTATAACAATGTCCTGATCCCCAGCACAGCCAGTTTGGGGCTCTGAGTGTTATGCTTGAGTCTCGTTGCCAGTTGTCTCTCTTTGCCTGCTGGTAAGCCATCTTTGGTCATGGGAGGTTTTACACAGCCTCCCTCATTAACATGAGTCATGAAATGCCCCTATTGGGCACAGGGTGTGGGGAGCTGAACTCCCCTAGGATTAAGGCAGAGAATCCTGCCTGCTTCCTGCCTCTAGACAGTTAACATCAGATGCTTATCAACCTTCCTGCCACAATCAGAACAGGTTGAAGGTGCTTTAGGGACCTCAGGAGTAAGACTCTGTGTGGCATGAAGATATGCCAGTTAATCAAGGCCACCCAGATTTGCGCAGTTTGAACCTTGGCCCTTCTACTGGAACCTCGCCTAGAAATGTTTGCAGTACTGGGTGTTGGGAGTGGGTTTGTCACAGCTTGGAATCCTGAAACAAGAGTACTCAGTGACTGCTAGCCCAATTTACATTTCATGTCCACTTAGATGCTTTTGCAAGCCCTAAGACAGCCATGGATAACACCACACACCTTGAGGTCGTCTTCCAGCTTCTGCTGTGTCCTTTCCTGGGGTAGTCCTGCCCGCCCTAGGCATTTAGCTCATCCTTAATTATCCTATCTTCCCCACCTACCTTATAACCCCTGGACCACTGTATATTGAAGGACATAAACTCCACCCAGCCAAAGCTGTTCTACCCAGCTTGGTCACTGAACTAGGAGGTGACCTTGAACCTGTTAGTAGTCCTCTCAGCGAGTTGGTGGGGTATAATTTAGAAGAGAAAGCAAGCTGGAAATATTTTCATTAAAAAAAAAAAATCCCTCCCACATTTCCGCCTGTGCCACGTCAGATTTTCCCATCTACTTAACTTTATTCCCAGAATAACTGTAAAGTCAAGAAACAAAACAAAAGAAAACAAAAAACACTGTATGAGTTTTGTATTCACTCACTCTTGATTCCTGTCATCTGCCACACCGTCATAACTTCTCCCCCATCCCCAAAACCTGCTTGTTCATGCATTTATTCAGTAAACTTTTTGCAGCCTGTGTGTCAGACACAGTGCTGGCTGTTAGGAATCAGAGATGTGTAAAAGCCGTCTATTCACAGAGCTCGCAGTCTGCCAGGGAGACAGACATTCGATCAAGGCTTGGTTGTGCACACGCAGAGATAGGGCAGGACGGGCCAAGGCTGAGTGGGATGAATGTTTGCGTGTTGGAGGCTTGTGACTTGGGATGGCTAATGTGATTCACTCATGGTAGGGAAAGGAGAAGGCGGATAAGTTTGGCAAGAAGGGAGCATGAGGAAATAAAGACAAGCCATCCAGACTTTTACAGAAATTCTGCATTTCTTTTTTAAAGTTATTTTGTGTATGTGCATGTGAGTGTGTGTGTGTGTGAGAGATGCTGTAACTTTTAGTTATTTTGTGTGTGTGTATTTGTGTGAGTGTGTGTGTGATGCTCTAACTTTTAGTTATTTCCTATGTGTGTATGAGTGTGTATGTGTGTATATGTGTGAGTGTGTATGAATGTGTGCATGAGTGTGAGTGTGTGTATGTGTGTGAGTATATGCATGAGTGTGAGTGTGTATGAGTGTATATGAGTGCATGAGTGTGTGTATGTGTGTATGAGTATGTGTATGAGTGTGTATATGAGTGTGAGTGTGTATATGTGTATGAGTGTGTATATGAGTGTGTGTATGTGTATGAGTGTGTGTATATGAGTGTGTATATGAGTGCATGAGTGTGTATGTGTGTATGAGTGTGTGCATGAGTGTGAGTGTGTATGAGTGTGAGTGTGTATATGAGTGTGAGTGTGTATATGAGCGTGTATATGAGTGTGAGTATGTGTATGTGTATGAGTGTGTATATGAGCGTGTGTGTGAGTGTGTATATGAGTGTGAGTGTGTACATATGTATGAGTGTGTGTATGAATGTGT